TTTTTTTCTTTTCTTTTTTTTTCTTTAAATGATGTCTCTCCCCTCCMTTGCCCTCCCCATTTTTTTTTCAGACAAGGAAAAGTTGCAGGGAGAGGACTTGGCGGGAGAAAAATGATGAGATGATTTTCGATTTGTTCTTTCTTTCATTTTTCTCCTCTCCATCCTCCTCCTCCTGATCCTCCGCCTCTGGTCCTTCTCCTCACACACTTTTCTCCTCCTCCTCCTTCTCCTCCTCCTCCTCCTCGCCTCTGGTCCTTCTCCTCCTCCTCTTCTCTCCTTCCCCTCCTCCTCCTCCTCCTCCTCCTCCGCCTATGGTACTTCCCCCCTTCCACACTTTTCTCCTTCTCCTCCTCCTTTTCTCTCCTCCTCCTCCTATTCTCTCCTCCTCCTCCTCCTCTCCCCTTCTCCTGCTCCACAATGTTCTCCTTCTCTTCATCCTCTTCATCAGGGTGCTTATCCTCCTCCCTCTGTTTAGGCGGGAAAGAGTTCTAGACAAATCTTGATGTGTCGTTTCGTTTTTCGTTGTTCACCTTCTCCTCTATTCCTCTGGATTTTTCTCCTTCTCCTCCACCTTCTACCTCTCCTCCTCCTACTCCTCCTCCTCCTCCTCTATCACCTTCGACCATAACAACGAATAACATGGTCACATGGAGAATGTGGAAACAGAAGTAGAGGATATGACTGTGCTAGGTAGAGGGGTAGTAGCCAGGGGAAAGGGCACCTTCAGTATGAGTCTGCGTTTGAGTTTGAGTCTGAGTATGAGTCTGAGTTGTATAGAAAATGCAAGGTTGGCCACGTTTGTATGGAGAGAGAGAGAGAGAGAGAGAGAGAGAGAGAGAGAGAGAGAGAGAGAGAGAGAGAGAGAGAGNTCCTCCTCCTCCTCCTCCTCCTCCTCCTCCTCCTCCTCCTCGTCGCCTCTGGTCCTTCTCCTCCTCCTCTTCTCTCCTTCCCCTCCTCATCCTCATCCTCCTCCTCCGCCTATGGTACTTCCCCCCCTCCACACTTTTCTCCTTCTCCTCCTCCTTTTCTCTCCTCCTCCTCTTATTCTCTCCTCCTCCTCCTCCTCTCCCCTTCTCCTACTCCACAGTTTTCTCCTTTTCTTCATCCTCTGCATCAGGGTGCTTCTCCTCCTCCCTCTGTTTAGGCGGGAAAGAGTTCTGGACAAATCTTGATGTGTCGTTTCGTTTTTCGTTGTTCACCTTCTCCTCTCCTCCTTTGGACTTTTCTCCTTCTCCTCCACCTTCTACCTCTCCTCCTCCTCCTCCTCCTCCTCCTCCTCCTCCTCCTCCTCCTCTATCACCTTCGACCATAACAACGAATAACATGGTCACATGGAGAATGTGGAAACAGAAGTAGAGGATATGACAGTGCTAGGTAGAGGGGTAGTAGCCAGGGGAAAGGGCACATTCAGTCTGAGTCTGCGTCTGAGTTTGAGTCTGAGTTTGAGTCAGAGTCTGAGTCTGAGTCTGAGCCTTCATCTAAGTCTCAGTCTGATTCTGAGTCTGACCTTGATCTGAGTCTGACTCAGAATCCGACTCAGACTCAGACTCCGAATCAATGAACCAATCAATCAAACGATCGATCAACCCTTTCTTGCAGGAGGTAGGGACTTCTATCTCGTTTGATTGCTGTTAGTTTTTCATTAATTTCAGTTTTGTTTTTTAGTTGATCTCAATCATTCAAACAATCAAACAATCAATCAATCAATCAACCACCAAATCAGTTTTGGTTTTTCAATCATCCAATCAATCAATCAACCAATCAATCAAACGATCGATCAACCCTTTCTTGCAGGAGGTAGGGACTTCTATCTCGTTTGATTGCTGTTAGTTTTTCATTAATTTCAGTTTTGTTTTTTAGTTGATCTCAATCATTCAAACAATCAAACAATCAATCAATCAATCAACCACCAAATCAGTTTTGGTTTTTCAATCATCCAATCAATCAATCAACCAATCAATCAAACGATCGATCAACCCTTTCTTGCAGGAGGTAGGGACTTCTATCTCGTTTGATTGCTGTTAGTTTTTCATTAATTTCAGTTTTGTTTTTTAGTTGATCTCAATCATTCAAACAATCAAACAATCAATCAATCAATCAACCACCAAATCAGTTTTGGTTTTTCAATCATCCAATCAATCAATCAACCAATCAATCAAACGATCGATCAACCAATCAAACAACCGATGTCGAATGATCAGTTCATAAAATGGTCGAATGATATCGATAGACTGATTCGTGGATCGACTGGTTGATTGATTGTCATGCAGGTATTTTCTCGCTCTTCATCGGCAGTTGTTCAGTCACAATCGAGGGCAGCATACGTCCTCGCCGTTTGCCCTGTGTCTTCACTCTCACATGTCGTGCTGTGGGTTTGTGGGGCTCGGTGTTAGAGAGGGGTCGGGGAGGGAGTGTCGACATGGCGCACAGGCTAGAGTTTGGAGTTCGAGAATGATCCAAAACCCAAGCACGTCATCTGGAAGTACGTGGAGAAGGGCCAATTGTTTGTTAGCCCTTCGGGAGCTGACCCGAAGGGCAATCATGAGTTGCGTTGTAGACTGTGCGGTCATTGGTGGGTTGGTAACCAAAGCAAGGCGACCCAGCACTTTAATACCGTGCGCGATTATGACAGGTGCCCGCATGCATGTGTATGTATCCTCAGGGAGTTGCAGAGGGTGGGCATCAAGTTGAAGGGGTCCCTGGCTGTTTATGTACGGGAGGCTGACAGGGAGGGTGAGCTCGAATTCGAGCATCCCCTCAATTGGAGATTGCCTGGCGTCGTGGCGCGACAACCCCTTCTGGTCCGCGCGCGCGATTTGGCACAGGGACGAAGGGGGAGTGGCGGGGAGGAGAGAGGACCTCCGGCACCTGTAGCACGGCAGGACGGAGCGGGCCATTCTGCAGGAGTGGGCCCTTCTGGAGGAGGGGGCCCATCTGTAGGAGTGGGCCCCTCTGGATCAGCGGGTCCGTCTAGTGGTGGGAGAGAGAGAGCAGGAGAGGGCCCCTCTGGGGGAGGGGGCCCATCCGCAGGAGTGGGCCCCTCTGGAACAGGGGGCACGTCTGGTGGTGGGAGAGAGGGAGCAGGAGAGGGTCCGTCTGGGGGAGGGGACGAGTGCGGCGAGGGAGGGCCTGCAGAGCATGCAAGGGTGAGACGTTTTGATCCGGAGGGAAAGATGTCATGTGGTGCTCCTCATGTGGATGTTGGGAGGAGGCGACGTGAGCACGAGGTAGCGCCTTGTGCTCCCCAGGACGAGCAGCAGTGGTGGAGGGATAGGATGCTGCAGCGAGCGAGAAAGGAGGGCATACAGGTCCCTGCGGACCTCGAGGAGGGGCTGTTGGGAGCCGCTGTGGAGGGGAGACAGGCACGGCACCGAGTGCCAAAGATGACTCAGACTCGTCTGGATGACTGGGCTCAGCACCCCATGCAATATGACCTTGACATGGCCTACATTAGATTCTTCGTAGGCTGTGGTGTACCGTTTAACGTCGCTAGATCAGAGTGGTATGCGGCTTTGCACGATGTTTACCTCAGTGAGTTCAGGGGTGCGTACCGACCTCGTTAGCCAGGGTTCGAGTTGCTGCGCACTACTTTGTTGTCCATGCTGTACGCGGAGCTCGACGAGCGTTTGCGATACCACCGAGAGTCGTGGTCTGAAGGGGTAACTCTCATGACGGACGGCTGGTCGACTCAGGCCAACCGGCCTCTCTGCAACTACTTGGTTGCAGGGAGGTTGGGGGCGTCCTTATACCGGGTAGAGGATATGTTTGGCCGGGAGAGGACCAGAGTGGGTTTGTACCGCCGATGGAGGGAGCTTGTTCTTGAGATCGGTGCACAGCATGTGGTCACGATATGTACGGACAACGCGTTGGCCAACAAGGAGGCTTACCGTTTGCTCCGTGACGATCACGATCTTTCCTTGAGAAAGATCGCGTGGATTCCTTGCGCAGCTCACTGCTGCAACCTGATGTTCACACACATCGCCAGACAGCCGTGGGTAGCACACGTCATCGCAAAGGGGCGGGATATCACTTTGTTTTTTCGGCGCCATGCACGTGCAGCATACCTCTTGAGTCAGCAGTCGCCGCCCGTATCTCTGGTTCGCCCGGGTGAGACGCGGTACGGGACCAACTACATCATGCTTCATCGCCTGTTGAGCTTGCGTAAGTCTTTGGATGGTTGTGTTAGCTCCACCGCCTGGGCGACGAGCGCGTGGCTCCCCGCATTGAGGGACGACGCACGCAGGTGTTTCGACCTCTTGCGCGATCCGCAGTGGTGGCAGCAGGTCGAGCTCGTCACCACCATCATGGGTCCTATTTACGAGTTGCTTCAGCAGGTCGACTCAGACGGCCGCAGGGTCGGCGATGTGTGGCGATTACTAGAGAGCTTGAGGATCACGCTCGATCGACTATCTCTTGACGAGGCTTGTCACGAGCCCATCAAGAAGATAGTCAAGGATAGGTCAGATATGATGCTCACCCTTATTCATTGTGCTGCGTACTTGTTGCACCCCATGTACCGCAACATCGACCTCTTGATGCGAGGGACGGTGCAGGAGCGCATTCTAGTGCAGAATGCGCTTGACTACATCGCGACGCAGATCGACGGTGGCCGAGAGGGCGACGAGATGGGATGAGTCTGGAGTTCTTTGCAGGACTTCCATGGCAAGTATCCCACGACTGCTCATTGGAGGGGACCCATCGGGGATGCAGAGATCGAGCAGCCTGACTTCGATCCCGTGAGGTGGTGGAGATTTTGGGGGGGACGACATCCAACACTGCGAGATGTTGCCATGCGCTGCTTGGGTGCGTGGACCACTGTCTCTCCTTGTGAGAGGAATTGGTCGACGCATGACTTCGTGCACATGAAGAGGCGCAATAGGCTAGGCGTCGAGCAGTTGGAGAAGCTTGTGTTTTGTCACTGGAACCTGAAGCTTGTCCAGAGCAGTCACGCACGCGGCGGGTTCATCGGGGCAGGCCTCCCAGGGGTTGGATTGACTGACGTGGAGAGGAGGGCAGAGGACTACTCCCGTTACGAGCCAGACGAGATGGAGCCCGATACATACGACTCGGAGGAGATCGAGAGAGAGGCCAATCGCCTGAGGAGGCATTCGAGAGGCAGACGCTTGGCGCGGGCCGCAGTGGCATTGGCCCAGCGGATTCGGCAGTGTGGCGAGGACATGGTACACGGGGAGGATGTGATTGACGACGACGTGTCATGGTTATCGGAGCCTTATCGGGGGGACGAGTTCTTAGATGGGGTGCCCCCCCCGACTGTGAGCCCCGCAGGCAGGATGCTTCCGCCACGCGCCCCGCCTTGTGATAGAGGCGTCCCCGCACACACGCCCACATGCGAGGCAGACTCGGACAGCCTCCGTGGAGACGAGTTTCTCGACATGTTGGGCGCCACCAGCACGGATGATGACGGCGGGGGGGGTGGTCATCCACCGGAGGCCAATGAGCTGAGGGAGGCCCCTAGACCCCCGGAGTCCGATGAGCTGAGGGAGGCCGCTCTTCGACCGTCCAGCGCAGGATCCGTTGAGGGTACACTGCCTCCATCTGTCGCACCAGCCACGGATGAGGCCACGCAGCATGATACTCTCGCAGCGGCCGGTTAGGGTTTGCCACATGCCCCTGTCGACGGGGGCACTACATCTGCGGCTCTCATCTTTTCCAGCCCGCATCGTGCAGTGGAGCACGATTATCAGGGGAGGCTCATACGACGTCCCGGATTCACGGGTCCGCTAGACTGGTGGGCAACATCAACTATTTCCCAAGATGCTGAGAAGGATTTGGCGGCGTACCTGCCGAGACCATTGTCGGATTTGCCGCGGGTCGACTTGGATGCGGAGGCTGGTGGCATGGAGTGTCGAGAGCCCTTTGGTGCGGAGGCTGCTGCTGGGGAGGCTGTTGCCACAGAGGGAGGCGCAAAGAGAGAGGATATCGCACGTGCCTTGGAGGGCGCCGGTTACTCGGTAGAGGAAATTGAGCAAACGTTGGCGGGGTACCCAGAGGGACACAGACACAGTACCCATCATCCGGGGATGCGCACACGCCAGGGTGTGGATTGTGGCCACGCACGCGCTTCTCCCTCACTGCCGCTGCTGCTTCCAAATCCCTCTCTTGCACTGGACGTCGCAGGCGCGGGATCGCACTCGTCTCCCGTGACGGATGCTCAGGGTACTGGTGTACAGTGCAGTGGTCTACGGGACCATGACTCCCCAGGCACGGGTCTTCGTCATGCAGTTTCCCCCATGGACTGCGGCGCGCACTCGACGATGCCATTGCCGCCCAGAGATCCCTCATTCATCATTGAGCCGCTTCGACCATTCGTTGGTCGTAAGCGGAAGGCAGTGACTGCCACGGGACAGGACGGTGGGAGATCTACAGGTCGTGGCCGAGCCAGAGGCCGACCATCGGGAGAGGAGAGGATAGTGGGAGAGGGTGGTATATCAGCAGAGCGGCGTTGGAGAGGAGAGGGGCGCGCGAGAGGAGAGGGACGTCCCAGAGGCCGACCGCCTGGACGGAGGAGAGGAGAGGGACGAGGCGCGAGGGGGGGGGTGAGGGGGAGGAGGAGGAGGAGGAGGAGGAGGAGGAGGCGGTCGATGCGGAGATCGAGGTCGGAGAGGGGGATATGTTGGGATAGTTTTGCACATTTTTGTCTTGTTGGTGGTTATTGGGTTCTCATTGCGGGAGGTGGCACTTTCTTGTACAGCATGATGTGGTGGCATGTAGCAGGGTCAGTACCTGTGAGAGAGAGAGAGAGAGAGAGAGAGAGAGAGAGAGAGAGAGAGAGAGATTTGCGACATTGGCATATGGTGACAGTTGGATTCAGACTTCACATTGGGGCCGAGACATCGTGTGGGACTATTTTTTGGATCAGTATCGGCGACATTCTCCATATCACCCCCACCTTCGTCTCTCCCCTCCTCCTCATCTGTGTATGGTTTCCTACCTGGCGCCCTTTGTCTTTGTGTTTGGCGCCAGGTCCCTCACACTGCCTGATGATGATGATGTTGGTGTTCAGTCTGTGTCATGACATTGGTTGGGTCTGATCGTTGGTATTTCAATCTTCCGCTGTGCTATCATTGCTCCATTTTTCAGAGGTCGGTTCTTGGTTCAGGGTCCCAAACTGTGTTCGCCTTCCGATACTGTGTGTGAGATTGTTTGTGTGTTTGTGTGTGTGAGATTGTGTGTGTGTCACAGTGTGTGTGTGTGTGTGTGTGTGTGTGTGTGTGTGTG